GACAAATTAGATCAAACAAATGTAGTATACAGCATTGTTTGTACTCAGTGTGAAGCTGAGTATATTGGTGAGACTGGAAGAAATCTCTCAAATCGCATTATTTCTCACAAGAGTGATTGTAGAATTATTAAGAAACCATCTTGTGCTTTGGCAGAGCATGTAATAGACAAAGACCATATTATGGATTTTGATAATATTAAAATTTTATGTAATGAAAGTAATAAATTTAAAGAACTTTTTTGGAAATGATTTGTATTAGCAAAAGTGATAATAATTTAAACAAAAAGGTCAGAAATTCAAAATTTAAGCAAAATTTATAATTATATAATTTCTATTTAATTTATGCAGTCAGTAAAATATCACATTTTGAATTTTCCATGTATTTGTTACATTTTTTCGGGCATCTATCAATGGTGAATAAATCTTCTTCTTTTTGTTACTAAACAAAGAAGAATTTTTTAAACAAAATTTTAATTTTTGACAATATGTCAAAAATAAAATTTTTAAGTTAATATTTATGACATTTTAGGCTGGTTGTAGCTATTCTATTTTTTGTTTATAAATTCAATTTTTTTCTTAAGAAACTTCATCTAAATTTTTCAGAGAAACATTTATTAGAATAAGACATTTTTTATTAATATTTTTTGTATTTATTATGTAAGCAGTAGTTTTATATAAAAAACTAATTTTATTTGGTGAGTTAACAAAAAATTTTTTATTTCTAGTTCAACTTTGTAAGACATTTTGTATCTTTTAGAAGCTCTTGATAAAAATTGTAATCACAATTGAAAGCTCGAGTAAAAAATAGTCAACAAATAGCCCCTTTTATTGACTCCAACCCATCAAAAACAGTGTTATATATATATAATATATATATATATATATATTTTTATATATATATATATATATATATTAGTTCTAAATAAATTTAACGTATCCCTCTGATTTCCGAAAAGACACACTCTTTACAATATTTATCGCTATGATAGATCGTCGCACACACGTAACACACCCTGTTTTAATATAAACGGTGGCCAATAAAAATTTAATATTTTTCAAATCTATTAAAATTAAAGGTAAAGATCTGTCATCTTACTATAACAGTTTACGAATAACAACACTAGCCTTAAAACAATAGTAAACCGGATCTGGATAGAGGGATAGCTAGCGGTGTTGAGGGAAACGTTTTTGGGACAGTTTCTAATTTATCTGTTTGGGAAATGTTCATATGAAGGCGTAGAAGTATCATTGTGAAAAATGATCTTATCATAAACTAGCTGGAAACACGTTGTCTTTTATTTTGCTCTCCAAACAATTAAGTCTTATGATATCTCAACGATTCCTTTGAATATTGATTTATTACACGTTGAATATTTAACCAGATTCGTTGAAATAGTAACTTCAAGAAATATACAATGCGTAAAATTGTACAGGTCTATTTGAAAAAAAAAAATAGATATTAAATATCTAGCAGTTGTCCTTGAAAGGAAACTCTGACGTTTCAACTTTTGAAGCCGTAACAACTAAGAACTGAGGACAGTCTCGTGAATATCGAACGAAGCACATCAAAAGAATCTTGTTATGGATGCCAGGGCATAAAGTATTTGTTGACTATTTCTCTTATCATACTGTAACTATTCTTAGGTATTACAAAAGCTATATCTTAAGAAACGTCAGAGACTGGCAAATGGAACTAAATATAGCGTTCTGGTCAAATTTTCCAGGTCAAAGACAAGAAATTAGATTATAACAAGGGTGTGCTTGCTAAGAAACATATTAAACGTTCAGAAAAGTGAACTCAGAATAATAGCAAGTATTTTCACTGGACGCTGCTCACTTAGATATCATTTATATAAAATGATCAGAATAGTCACAACACAGTAACATGTCGATTTTTGGATCTCATCAAATACCAGATGTAGCTTCGAAATAGATAAGATAGATATGGCTATGATAGTCTTTTGAACTAAATAAAATATATCGACACCCCCATCGAACAAGGTTGTAACTCAAGTTAGATCTATTTTCACATTTCAACACAGGCGAATTTAGTGAAAAATTGCGCACACGTCAATATAAACCACATAGCTTAATTCTCAATAGTTTCGCTAATACTCCGTTGAAAAAAGTTGTACTTTAAGTTACGTGTGTCATTTTATCGTAAAAAGGCAGTAACACTGTTACTCTCTATGTCAAATTTTTAGTTTCTATATATTTGACGATTAATAAGGTTGCTAAAGAAGTTTACAGCTTTGTTGCACGTATGTTTAATTTATAAAGTAATCAAACATACGGTGTATCCCCTAAGTCAATCTTGTTGTATGAATAGTTTACCGGGGAATCACATATGCTATATGAGTTGCTGCTTTGTTTGTGTTCTACTATATAGTTACAGTATATCCCATTTACGTGAATGTAACTTGTACATTATTTAATTTAGTTGATATTTTTGTGTGATAAACACTATACAAGTGTTTCAATATCGACATATATAGTCTAAATGAGTCGTAATAGGCGTATATTAGAATTAGCTTTGAAAATAGTGAAATATACGCTGAACCTGGTAAGTAATTATCATAACCATAATTTTGTAAGTAAAAATAAGTAGTTTATATTTTATTATAGATATGGAACAAAATTTATTTTCTGGCGAAATGGAAAACTTAGACATTGTCAAAAAAGATTTTGATGTCACAGAAAATCCTTTATATGCAAATACATCATATGTATCATCCGATGAAATACTTATTCAACATGGCAATGATTTATTCGAATTAAAAAAAAAGTTACGGCCTGGTTGTAGCAAATTTCTAGACCCGAATGGTAGTGATGTAGAGTCTAGTGGTCATAGAGAGCCTTTCTCTGCCGATGTGTCCGAATATGTACCTTCCGGTTCTGAAGGTAAAATGTCAGTTTTTAGAATATCCATTGCTATTTACTTTTTTCTTGTTAATATACGACCACAATTTCCTTTTGTTACAAATTGTTAATTTCTGTTTCTATTGTTATTCTGTGGTCTTCAGGTAGATATACAAAAAATAATTTTGTTGTAGGTAGTAGCTATTCAGATGGACCAAAAGAAAAGAATCTACAAGAAATAGATGAGGCTGAACCAAAAACAAACCTAAATATACAAACCCAATATAGTGCTTCTGATATAGAACATAATTCGCATAAGAAAAAGAAACGAGATATGCCGGAAAAATGTACTTCTGGTCGTAAGAGGACACGCAATACCAACAATTGGAAATGCAACTTGAATAAAAGGAAAAAAAATTAGATTGGCATTCACGAATCAACGAGGTCAACAAATCCGAGAAAGGCAAATGAAACAAGGGTGTACACAGAACTGTTCCAAAAAATGTATTCAAAAGTTATCCTTTAGAAATGAGAAACCAGATTTTTTCACAATTTTGGGCTCTTGGGAATCATAATCATCAAGTACACTTTATAAATAACTGTGTTGAAAGAATACCTAAAAAACAAGCAGTACTTGCAACACTTGCAACTTCAAGGCGCCGCTGGTCATATAAATATTCATTTCTGGTAAACGGTGATAAAATTCAGGTATGTAAGAAAATGTTTTTCGATACTCTAGATATTACAGATAAGTGGTTAACACTATTTATAAAAAGATTGATATGGAAGTAACTGATTGTGTTTCACTAGCCATCACGAGGCCGTCACGAAAACCGCCCAAACAAAGTACCTGAGGTTATTAAACAAAGTGAGAGGACACATATTGCTCAGATACCAGTTGTAGAGTCACATTACGTGAGGACTCGTAGCCGTAAACAATATTTTGACGAATCTTTAACGTTTCCCAAATTATATCATCTTTATAAAGAGTGGTTACATGCACAGATAATGATATATGATAAGATATGCACCAGAGATACAAGCCACCGAGAGACAATATCGAGAAGTATTCTACAATGAATTTAACATAGATTTCTTTAAACCCAAGAAAGATCTATGCGCAACATGTGATATTTATAAAAGAGCTTCGATTGAACAAAGGAAAAGTTTACAGCTTAATTATACTCATCATATCGCTTCTAAAACTGTGGTGCGCGAATTCAAAACGCAAATTAAGTCGCTTGCTCAATGTAGTAACTCAGTAGTTGCGGCATGTTTTAATGTCCAGAAGATCTTATCCACTCCAATGTCAGAAGTTTCTGCATCATACTATAAGCGAAAAGTCGCCTCTATAATTTTACAGTCTTTGATTTAGGAGACAATTAAGGACACTGCTATGTCTGGGATGAGACTGTTGGCCGGAAAGGTGCTAACGAAATTAGTAGTGCTGTATATTTATTTATTGAAATGAAAGTCAAAAAGGGATTTACAGACTTTTTCTTCTTTTCGGATAGTTGCGGAGGACAAAACAAAAATAGAATAGTTTTTGCTATGTACTCCTTTGCAGTGAAAAAGTTTAACATTAATATTACACACGTGTTTTTTGAAGTAGGGCATTCACAAAACGAAGCGATTCAATGCATGCCCTGATAGAAAGACGTAAAAAACATCAAATCGTATATGTTCCAGAACAATGGATAACCATATACGATGTGCCAAAACATCAGGCAATGCCGTATTCAGTAACTGAAATAAATCAAAAACAAATTTTAAATTTTAAACTATTTCAGGACATCCATATTAATTTTGGCCTAGATATTAAAAACAATAAAGTAAAATGATCTGAAATTAAATATTTACAGATCCGCAATGAAAATGCGAAAATAATTCACCTTAATTATGACGTTCTTTCTGAAAATAATTACTGCGTTAATTTAGAACAAATGCCTGTAACTCAACGTTCTTCAGCTAGGAAGTCAACAAAAGATAAGAATGAGCGTATCACCCTGACAGATATACCTCCCGTTTATTCTAATTCTCTCGCCATATCGAAAGACAAATATAAAGATTTAAACAGCCTTTGTTAAGTCAAATGTCATACCCGAAACATATATCACCGTTACTATAAACAATTCAAATTTTGTGACCCTAAAAATATTCAATCATCAGACTCCGAATAAAAATTTGGAATAATTATTTTATTTTGTTCATAGTGACTATTTTGTTCGTAGTGGTAGAATATTGTTGTTTTTGTAAAATTTATAATTTACAATTAAAATTGTGAAAACTACGAGTTGATATTTCATTTAAATATACCATAAAAACTAATTTTCTCTATTTACATTGCCAATGCTCAACATACAACCTTTATGGTAAAACGGAAAAATATTAACACGGAGAGTGTAAAATGGTTGTTAAGCGAGTTACAACTTTTTTCTACGAAGATTCATGTTTAATCTCAAGGTTGTATCTCAACCAAACTCAAGATTTTTAATAGTATAATCAAATTACAAAACATACATCTCAAAGTAATCCATCATTATGTTATAAATATCGTCTCGCATTAGCTGTAAAAGAGTTTACTCATTTCGCTACAATTTTTTAAAAATACATCCTTTTCGTTTTTTACCTCTCCTGTAAAATCGCTAAAACTTAGTTACAACCTTGTCCGATGGGGGTGTCGATATATGAATCTACCCTTTTTAAAAAAATAATATAGAGTAGACGTGTGTTTGGTTTCAAATTTTATTTCGTTTTGTTTGAATATCTACCAATCGGCTGAGACAAGTCTTATGAAACCCAATGAATACCATTTAATCAAATGAAATTATTGTTTTATTTTGATGATAAGTGTAAGCTGTCGCTTAGAAGAACGATCATCAATCAACATATGATGACTTGGCAACTAAATCAAGTAAAGTTATATTTAATACTAACATCTCTAAGACTAAAAAATTTAAATTAATGCGAATTTTAGTGCTCCTTAATAATTATCAACGAATCAGTTCCACGCGTAGAAAGTTCCAATATTCAAACCTTGTCTGTGGGTCCGCATCGATGGGTCCTTGTTTCTATTTTACCATAAGCACCTGTGTTCTTCAAAATGATCTTATATTGTTTACATTTTTCAGGATAAAAAAAGAATGAAACAGACACAGACAAATCACTAGTCGTGTGAAGGAAAAAGCACAGGAGGTTCTAGAAACAGATAAACTAATAATATTCCAACAGTTTCCAAGAGGAAATATTAAAAAAAACAGGCAATATACCCAAAATAAAACACTATGAATAAAGAATTAGTGTGACTTTAACTATCTGGGGAGTAACTTCACAAGCTACTTTTCTCTATAAGATTCTATCTGAACACATACCACATTAAAATTAGTATAACCAAACAAAGGTTATGCTAACACGTTGGGCGCCAAATAAGTGTAGCTCAACAAATGTTGGTGGTTATATTCTAATACTTCGAATCTACTCTAAAACAAATGAAAACAAAGAGTACCCTGAATAAAGTTGTTCTGAATGCGCTTGATGTCATCTGACCACCTTGTTGGAGGACGTCCTCGATTACGATAAGCATCATGTCTAGGTCTCCATTCCAGAATTTTCTTCGTCCACCTTCCATCTTTTAATCTGGCAACATGTCCCGCCCAACTCCATTTTAATGTTGTAATCCTTTGAACTATGTCAGTAACACCAGTTTTTCTCATAACTATTGTATTTGATACTCTGTCTCTGAGGGATATATTCAGCATTGACCTCTCCATCGCTCTCTGTGCCACTTGTATTTTATTGATTACTTTTCTGGTAAGGATCAATGTATGTGCTCAATACGTTAGAACTGGGAGTACACATTGATCAAAAACATGCGAATTTTCAAACACATGGGAATATCTGATCTAAAGACATCTCAGTTTTCCGTAAGCCGCCCATTCCAGTCCTATTCTTTGTTTAGCTCCGTTGTTTGATTATCTCTTTCTAATTTAATCTCGTGGCCAAGATATTTATAGCTGTACACCTGTTCAATTTGCGTGCCCTTTGTTGAGATGTTTTTCGCCAGTACAAGGTTGGTCATACATTGTGTTTTGGAAAAAATTAATTTTAAGTCCAACTCTTGTACACGAGTTCTGAAGATCTTAAAGAAGCTGGTAGGCATGATCTACCCGGTCTGCAATAAGGACTATGTTGTCTGCAAATCTCAAGTTGTTCAGAAACTTTCCATTTATGTTGAGTCTTAATAATATTGACTTGACGTAATTTATGTTGACTTGTAATAATGTTTAATACGGACTGTTGTACATCTTTATTATTATTGCTTTCAGTAATACAGTGTCATCATAACCTAATCTAAAGTGCTTAACCTCTATGTCTGCCATGAGACCATGTGCTGCCTGTCCCATGTCATAGTTATGTCAGAACTTTACATTTATGAGCTATTTAGTCTCATGACATCTTTCCCAACACTCTTGCTATAATATATTTATACCGTTTTTACAGGTTATTGATTTACATTAAATTTAAACATTTTCACAAAATTTACCAGCCAGTGGAAGTGAAACACAAATCGTGATACATAAAACATTTAAGTTATACTATCATGACACAAATAATGACGGTGTAAACACTTTCTTGGAAGGTCTAGTTTTGATCGCCTGTCGATGCTTGCATTAAGTGATCATGCGACCTTGGATTCCATCTTTTAAGCGGCCAGGGTATCAATGAGGGTTTAATTAATCTTTTACTTCTGGTAGGAAACTGATAAGGTATGTCATTCTCATTGTGATCAAAATCACCTGCTAGGTTAATATGATGTTAAGGCATATTATTAGATGGTCTCAAGTGTCCAACTTTCTTCTTACAAGTGTCCCATTTTCTTTCTCAACAACATATGATCTTGGCTCTCGTAAACCTCGTCTAACCACAGAAGGTTTCCATTGCCCATCTTCTCTTATAACCACATTATCCCCTGTAAGAGCTCTTAACATGGAGCTATGCTGGACTTCAAATGCTTTCTCAAAGTCTACGAATACTAATATCAATGGCTTGTTGTATTCTGTAACTTTCTCTATTAAGGAATTTATTACTTGTAGGTGGTCGTTTCGTTCCAAAGCCACTCCTAAATCTGGCCTGCTCTAATGGTTGGTGAAAATCCAGTTTAGGTTCCAGTCTGTTAGTAATTATTCTTATAAAAAGCTTATATAATTAAAAAGAGCTTATACCCAAGCTGATAGGTCTGTAGTTTCCAATTTCTGTTACATCTCCTTTTTTGTGCAATATTATCATAATGGTACTATTCCATTTTTCTGGTGTAGCTCCTTCAAAGAGGCAGTCATTATAAAGGGGTTTTCAAGCTTTT